TGAAGTAGAATTTCAAAATGTAGGATGTGCTAAAACTGTTCCAGCTATTTTAGCTGGAACATTGTTGGAATTTTATTTTATTTTTGCAATTTAGGTTATAAATAGCGGGAACATTTATAACCTATGTTTCAGCTATTTATAACCTAAATTGCAAAAATTAAACCTAGTACAAAGGATTTGTACAGTAAATCCTGATTCCCATGAAAAGTTACTAGAATCTTTAAAACGATATCAAGATTTATTTAAAGGAGCAGGTAATTTAACTGGATATACATATCATATTATATTAAAACCAGGAGCTGTTGGTAAAATAGAGCCCTGTAGGAAAATTCCACTTAGCTTATTAAATCCATTAAAAAAAGGAATTGGTAAGAATGGAAAAAGATGGTATTATAAAGAAAGTTAACCAACCTGCAGAATTTGTGAATTCATTAGTTGCAGTAAGGAAAAGAATGGTAATTTAAGACTGTGTTTAGATCCTCAGCAAATTAACCAAAATATATACTGAGAGAATATTACCATATACCAACCTTTGAAGAAATTTCATCTCAAATGACAAATGCGAAGGTGTTTAGTATTTTAGATGCAAACAAAGTATTTTGGCAAATTAAACTGTCAGATTCAAGTTGTGAATTTACTACATTTAATACTCCATTTGGTAGATATTGTTTCTTAAGGTTGCCATATGGACTGAGTTCATCACCAGAAGTTTTTCTGAAATTTTTAGTGATTTAGAAGGAGTTCAAATATATATAGATGACTTATTAGTTTGGGGTAAAGATAAAAAAGAACATGATTTAAGATTAAAGAAGTTGTTGGACAGAGCCAGAGAAAGAATGTTAAATTTAATTTAAAAAAATGTAAATTTGGGCTGAATGAAGTGAAATATATGGGACATATATTTTCTAAAGATGGTTTAAAACCAGATGAAGACAAAATTAAGGCTATTCTAGATATAAACCACCACCAAAAACACACAAAAAAAAAAAAAAAAAAAAAAAAAAGTCGAAAAATTAGAAACTTTCCTAGGATTTTCTAGGAAAGTTCTAAGTTTCTCTTAAACATGATGTCAATTCTGATACATTAGGTATAAATCTTTTCTAGATTTGTTCCTAATGGATCAGAATTGACATCAAATTTGAGAGAGGAGCAGTCTTACTGTAGAATAATTTACCAGTAGCATATGCATCTAAGGCATTAACAGATACACTGAAGAATTATGCTTGAATTGAAAAGGAAACCTTAGATATTGTATTTGCGTGTGAGAAATTTCACCAGTATATATTTGGAAAATATATTACAGTGGAAAGTGACCATAAACCATTGGAATTAATTTTCAAAAAGCCATTAAATAACTTAAAGATGTTAATAACTGTAAGATTACAAAGAATGCGTTACAGCTACATCAGTCTGAGATAAAATATAAACCAGGAAAAGAACTTTTTATTGGGTGCATTATCAAGATCATTTACTAATAAAAAGGATCTGATTTCTTTGAAGGAGACATAGAAGTTCACGTTGGATTAATTGTAAAATGTACACCAATGTTTAAAGGCAAAATGGGAAATTTTCAACTGGAAACAGAAAAAGATTAAGAACTACAAGTTTTAAGAAAGTTAATTAAAACTGGATGGCCAGATGAAAAATGTATGGTTCCAGAACTGGCAAAACCATATTTTAACTTCAGAGAAGAGCTATCAGAAGCAAATGGATTAATATTTAAAAATTCCTCCTGTGTCGTTGTACCAAGAAGTTTACGAAAAGATATATTAAGTAGAATTCATTATGGTTATTTAGGAGTAGTAAAATGCAAGATCAAAGCAAGAGAAATATTATATTGGCCAGGAATGTCCAAAGAAATTGAAGATTTGGTACTGAATTGTCAAACATGTTTAAGTTTACAAAAAGCTAATACTAAAGAAATACCTAATGGTCCATGGGAAGTATTGGGAACAGATCTCTTTTACTTTCAAGGAAGGGATTATCTAATAGTTATAGATTATTTTAGCAAATATGTTGAAATTGGACATTTGGAAGATTTGTCAAGTGTAGCAGTGATAAAGCAATTGAAATCAATTTTTGCAAGACATGGTATTCCGAAAATAGTATATTCGGATAATGGTCCACAATATATAGTTGCAAGAAATTTAAAGAATTTGCAAGAAGATGGAATTTTGAAACCAGAACTTCAAGTCCAAATTACCCACAATCTAATGGAATGGTTGAAAGACATATTCAAACTGTCAAGAGAATGTTAGAATAAGCTGTAGTTGACAACAAGGATCCATATTTAGTATTACTGGAATATCGTAACTCTCCTATTTCAGAATAAATTCAGTCACCTTCAGAATTTATGTATGGAAGAAAAGTAAATGGATTGATGTCTATAAAAAAGAATTTCATCCAAATTAAATGAAATGAAGACCATAAACAACATTTACTGAAGAGACAAACCTTACAAAAAAGGTATGATAGCAATGCAAGACCATTAAAACCACTGAAGGTAAGAGATCATGTGTACATAAAAGAAAAAGAAAAAAAAAAAAAAAAACTAAATGAAAGTGGGAAAATTATAGACGAAGCAGAAAGACCATACTCATACAGGATTATAAGTACAGATAGAAGAGACATTCTTAAAGGAACTAATTAGAAGGAGTTTGCAATGCAAAACAACTATGAAAATGAAAGTCCTGAGAATGAAGTTATAGATGAACTCAAGATATTTGAGAATAGCAGGAGCATTTCAAATTTAGATGTGCCTGTAAGTCCTTCAGAACCTAACAGAAGTGTTGTGTCACCAAATACTTAAAGAGGTATAGTATCATCAGATTTTTCAAATGGACTTAACTACGTTACTCGATATAGTAGGACTGTTAAGAAAATTTATTACTATTTAAAAGAATATGTTTAATTTTTTTATTATTATTATTGATAGAAAAGGGAGATGTTATACAGTCAAAAGTCTTTAATCCGGACTTGTCGGGACTTCGGCGATTCCGGATTATAGATCATCAGTAAATCTGGTGTGATGGCATGCAGAAATTATAAAATTAAAAATATGAAACCTTAATTTATGAAATAAAGAGCAATTATGATCTAAAGGGTATCAAAATTTACAAAAAAAGTTTTATATTTATTTTTGTTTACTTTATTAAACATTTCTTTCAACACGTGCATGCGTAAAGCATACATTACACATAGTCAAATTTAGAAAATTGCAACCAGAAGACTATTTGATGTGTATTCGTGATATTTATAATGATGAGGAATTTGATTTAAATCATATCAAAGACAGAGTACATTGAGATGAAGTACTACATTTAGTAAGGAATTATAAGCCGAATAAAATAAAAACATCTGCCTTGAAGATAAGGATAGTGCTGACATATCAACTTCCAGTTCATTGCGCGCCACGTCGCTTCCCCCCCGCAGAGCCGCGTGAAATTGATAAACATATTTCGGAATGATAAGAGAATCAAAGGATATGCCTTTATCCATTTTTTGCAGCAATTCCACTTTTTGTTTGATGGACATTCGAACATGCTTTCACTTTGTAGATCCTTTGGTAGCTCCAGAATCGGAAATTCTTTTTGACATAATCGAAAGTTCAAGCTTACTTTTATAAAATTTCTCTAACAGTCTGAATAAAATAATAAGCCGGATCCAATTAAAAGATTAAGGAACAACGCAATCTGCAACATTAACTGAAATAGATAATTACATAATTTTAGCTTAGCTTATACCGTCTGTTATACATTAAACACGCATGCATAAACGTATTATGCGCATGCGTAGACACATATGTGCATGCGTAAACGCATATGTGCATGTGTAAAGGTATTATGCGCATGCGGATCATTCCGGATTATGGATGTCTGGATTAAATACTTTTGACTGTATATGTAACCGTATCTATTATTATCATTAATCATTACTGTAATATAGAATAGTAAATTAGCAATGTAGAATAAACGATGTTTGTGTACATCATGTTACCATCACTGAGCACATATCTAACATATAAAAATAATACAATTAAAGAGCTAATTATATTTTTAATTCATTATTCACACCTTAAAGATGTATCACACTCTGAATTTTATCAAACATATGACAGATACAGATAATAAATAACAATAATTTTCCTTTGTGGAATCCTGCCTAGATTGTACTTTTATGATCACATTTTAGGAGCATTTATATGAATTCATAGCTTTCAGAAAAAATTTCAAAGAGTGGCTTTCGAACTTATGAAATTTTTATTCTGCTTTCATACGGCTTAAAAAAGACCAACCAGTATTCTTTCATGAAACAAAGTTATTCTATACGTGAACCAAAATACCATGCCACTGGGTGGACAAAGCACCCATTATGAAAACCAAGTGATTAGACAACTGGATAATAAGGATTATGGAAAATGTAAATTCAAATGCCTAACCATGTCATCATTAACTTCTGAGAATATTTAAGTGCAAGCTTTTTAACTTTCAAAAACAAAAAGCTAAATACTTCCACTCATGCCACACATTAAAAACTAATATATAACTGTCAAGGTTTATAATTAGACCAATGATAAAGATCACATGGAATTAAAATGATGCAAGATTAATTAAGCAATCATTAGAACAAGGATTATGTCATTGTCTAATAATGGATATAGTCAATTTGTGATGTGAAATGCATGTCTGAGCATATTTCCAGTTTTCAGATTTCTCCTACTTAATTATGCTAGTTAATATTATTGAGAGAAATCTAACAATTCATACCTTCAGATTGCTTACTCTGCAATGGAAGAGTTGAATCAAATAAATATTAATACATTAGATTAATAGATCAATTTTGCAGGATATGGTTTCTTGCAGTTTACTTTTTGCATTATTTTCAATTATTTTTTCTTTAATTCCACACATAAATACTAAAAATAGAAGAAAACTACACAATTTAACAATATAAACGTTTCAAAAATTGCTTTGCTTTCACAATATAGGTTTTCTACTTACTAAGTTCTCCTTTAGCTGCTAAGTCTAAAGCAGTAGTAAGATCCCACATCTGAAATCATAATACAACAATTATAATCTATTCATTCTCCCCTTTTCATATACTTAATTTTCAGAAAGGAAATGCAAAGCAAATTTTATATCTTAACCTTCTAAAACCAGGCTTAAATTCTCATAATATTACCTTTAGGACGGTGTGATTGAAAACACTTTCTCCCCCTCCTTTACGGTTCCCTAATGAGAAAAGTCGTTGGGCTTGTCATTTGTACCCTCCATAGATGAAGTAAAATTTACATGTTTGTCAGATGCTGGACCATAGAATAGGTTACTATATATGCGACTCTTTAGAGGTTTATTTTGATTTTATTTAAACTAAACTGTATTTATTTATTAAAAACAAAATGTGTACAATGTTTATATAACATTTACTATTTCTGATCAATCTTGGTAATATTTTGTGAGTTTTGCCTTTGTTTCTACTAGAAATTAGGAAACAAGAACAGAACTTGACAAAATATAACAAATATGAACTAGCTTTATGTGCCTGCAGGTTGGAATGCAATATTTGACAATGTATTTTCATTAATAAAAAAACAGTAATGAATAATTTAATGAAATAACAATAAGGAATTCATAATAATATTCATTACTATTAGATGATTAGAATATGATTTATTACTATTAGATTTTGAAAGAAACTTAAAACAATAATAAAGCTTTAAATCTATTTCTTTTTTTTTTATAATTTCGTTATTCTAATATAAAAAAGTAAATCAGATATATATTAGTTGTTGTTTGATTATTTAACTTTAACAAATATTACTTTGGACTTCGGGGCAAAGAAGATATATCTGTAGAGAGAATTTTATTTATAAAATCGGATATTGTTTACGTTAGCAGGGGAAAAAATTCTCCGAATAACCATATATTCAATTCATTTTATACCTGCAGTGTGAAGTATGATAAGATTAATTTCTTATATCTTTGCATTTTTGTGGTGTCCGTAGTGAGAGATCACTTTGAGGCTTCTTTTTAATATTTTCTGAAGAGAATTTTAATCTATGATTTAAAATATAAATTTATCAAAAATATTTTTCAGAACAATTTTAAACATTTATAAAGAATTCTACGTAAATTTCCTTTTATAGGCGGATTTCATTCAAAAACCATTGTTATATCCAAAGTTTGATTTTTCCTTGATTTTAAATGAAATGGATATACATGTATTCTACATAATAAATTTTCTAATTTATTTTATAAAGATTAATCTTTCATACTCTAAAAATAATAAGGGCATACAGGATGTTGACATTTACAGTGTAGGAAATATGCTTTTTATACTTCTTTCAGTGATCAAAACCATTAGCCAGGAATATTTTCAAAGCAAAATTAAGAAAATTGTTTATAACAAATTTTTCATAAAGTATCCTCTTATATGTGAAACATTATGTGAAAAATTGGTGTGTCAATTAAATTACCCATGGACCAGTAATCTCGAATGCTGTCCTTTTCAATACATCCCATGAGTAACATGTAATTTAGTATCTATTACTTCCGAGTAAAACAAAAAACTGAGCTTCCGTAGCAGATGAAAAGCTATATATTGGGTATATCTACCAAGCAACTACTTTATATTCATATTTCAGTGAGAAAGCATGCTTTAATATGACAATTATGAAAAAATATATAAATAATTATGCATGAAATTTAATCACAAAAAATTTAATTTTTTAATATAATTTTCTTTTTTGTTTGTAATTCAACAGTTCTTCACCACTAGAATTACTTCATTTTAATTAACCTAATCTATTGATTAGTTCCATTACAATCAGTATAGAGGTATTAACGTTATCTTTTAATTACTTTTTAGCTAATTATGCAGACATATTCAAAGTTCAACGGCTGTTTGTCTTGAAAAGAATGCCTTTAGGAAGAAATTACAAAAGGATATACACAATAAAAGCATCTATTAAGAAAAATTAAACCTAAACAAACCGCTTGTCTAAAAGGCAAGCTCAAAATAAAGTGCATACTGTTAAATTAACATCTGAATCAAGAAATGTGACAGCAGGAAATTTAGCATTCCCCTAGTAAAGAATAAAATTCATTCATGATAAAAAAATTTTAGATTTTCATTAAATCAAAATATTTTAATACCTGAATAACACCATTACTATGTCCTGTGAATATATACCGTCTGGGTCTTGACCCCATTCTATTTGAACCTTCACATTCATGAACACAAAATGCAGTGATAGTAGTATTGTCAACAGATTTAATGACACAGATCCTGAAATAAACAAAATTTTAAATATTATTTCTGAATTCAACACACAAGATTTGCATGCAAAATCCGTTCATTTTTTTAAATCTCACTCTATTGGCTACAAACAATTTATCAAAATGTGATAACATGATGCTTCAAAAGCACATGTAATTAATATGACTAACCTAAAATTTACTGTTTCATTCCTTGTTACTGCATGAGTGTTAAATGAAGAATTCTAGCAATTACACAATTTATGAACTTCATATGCTTATAACTTTCTAAATTATATATTAGCTCTGTTTTCTTCAGTGGAAGACAATTAGTTTGTAATTCTAAAAACTAGATAAAGTTTCTAAGCAATACAGGAAAACAGTTCAGTTTATACGCATTAAAATCCCTTTAATTTCTGAAATTAATGTACAGTTAACAATACTGGTAAAATTTTAACTTTGGGCTTAGTAAACGAAGTGAAAGAGTAATTCCCCCACACATTTCCAAGCTGAATTCAAAACTGTTTACAAAAACCTCCATCATCAACGATATTTGAGTAAATGCATGAAGGAAAGTAAAAATTATGGTAACTCGTAAAGAGTTCAGCTTCTTAAAAATGTCTTTTATCAGTTTCATATATGCAAACAAATAGAATCATAATATTTTACAAACATCAACACTTTTATTAGAATTGCTGTTGTTTTAGAATTTAAAACAGTGCTGCCACTTAATACAGTACACTTAGAGTAATACAAGAAAATAAGGAAGTTTTGAAACAATTACAACATACTCCCACCTTCTGTACTGTAATATTTATTTATTTATTACAGATACCCAGAAGATTGGCTATGACACCATTAAATTTCTAGCATTCCAATAATTCTGAACTTTAAACAGTTTAAAAACACAAGTGCAGAGCACGAGTCAGCATGAGTAGCATAAAAAAATTGATGTTGTCTGGACAAAGAACATAAGGGAGAATTACAAAGCCCAAGCCAATACAAGTATGAGGGCAAACAGTCATGGCCTGTAGTAAGGTGGAAACGTGTCATAGCTGCACTTCTACAAAAATCTGGGATCAACTGTGTATCCTCATGCAGTGAGGCACATGATTTACTGACAGAGTCACACAGTGCTCTCTGCTTTATCCTGGAAGGATATCTTTTTTTTTATCAGGAGTCTGACTGAATGAAATGAGGGGCTTTTCAAAGGTCTATGTAGGACACTTGCACTCTTTTTGGCCAAGATGTCGGCAGCCTTATTCCCAGGAATCCTGCAGCGAGCTGGGATCCTTTGCAAAGAAACAGAGATTGACGTTGAGAGCTCTCTACATTCCAGTATATGGGTATGATCAGTGTAATGTTTATTTGAAAGAGATTGAAGAGCAGATGGGGGAGACTGACAAAATAACCGCTCTGCAGAATGACGAAGGGTGGATAGACAGTTGCTTTAATGTGATATAAATAGCCTTGATTTTGCCATCGTAATGGGTGGAATGAGCACCTATTGGTGCACAGCATGAAAAAAGATCACAACACACACCAGCTCCCACTCTGTCTTCATCGTTAAACACTGATCTATCTACGTAGACATGTAACCATGTGTCTCTAGGGTATTTGTTTTCACTGGTAGATAGAGGAATGGCACAAGCCTGTGTTTCGCTTATATGACTCTTATTAACCTGCGTATCCAATTTCAGACACGCTGATATCCCATCATAGTCAAAAGGGGAAACAGGCACACAAAAAAGTTGAAGATTGAGGTAGACATTCATATCAGTGGCTGCAGAATAAGCATACTGTATAAACCCGTTTTGAGTTTTAAGATTTCTCTCTGCGTTAGTGACGTAATTCCTCCAAAAAGTATTGTTGGGCAGGTCAATCAGCTTTTCACAAAGAAAGACTGCATCTCTTTCAATTATGTTTCTTATTGGAGGGTTTTGAATTAAACAATGCATTGCTAGAATAGAAGTGGTCCTTACAGCGCTCGTTATAATATGGAGAGCTTGGTTTTGGACAGTTCAAGTTTTTGACTAGTACTCGTAGCAGCAGAGATAAGAACTTCGTTACAATAACTGAAGATTGGCTGAATAAAACGCTTGAAGGTGGCACTCGAAATATCTTGGTTGTAACCCCATTTGCAACCAGCCGACCTTTTAAGAACAGGAAGTCTGAACATTTTTTCCACATACGTAATCAACATATCTGTTCCAACTCAACTTAGAATCAAGAATGCAACCTAAATACTTTGTACTTTCTACTCTTTGAATTGCCATACCCTTGAATTTAAGTTTAGGTACAAAAGGTCGCGTATTTAGGAAGAAAAACGGGCAGGTGGTTTTGGATTTATTAACAGACATGGCATTGTCAGAACACCAAAAACAGAGCTGCTCAAGGGATTTGTTTAGTGTAGTGTTAAGCATGTTCTGGGTGTTCTCTGGCTCGCTCGCCAACATTGTCAAGTCATGAGCAAATGGAGCAGTTTTTATCCCGAGAATGCTTTTCAATGAATTGGTCAGATTGTTGATATAAATATTAAAGAGTATAGGGATCAAAACAGCACCTTGAGGAAGTCCAGATTCAACTTGTTTGTATATGGATAAAGAGTTTCCAAATTTCACTGAACAAAACCACTGACCAAGGGTCACTAATTCCTGTGGAAATCAGCTTATAAATTAACTTCAGGCACCAGACCTTCTCATATGCTGACGAGAAGTCAACAGAGGCCACCAAAGCAGATCTGCTGCTGTCGAGATCATCCTTAATATTTTGGCTAAGGTAGGCTATCTGCTGAGCAGTGGAATGAAAATGTCTAAAGCTTGCCTGGAAGTTGCAGATAAGACCATGATGCTTAAGAAACCAGGTCAATCTTGCGGCGATCATCTGCTCCATAATTTTCCCCAAAATACTCATAAGGGCAATCAGTCTACATCCATTGAATTCGTCAGAAGTTTTACCCTGCTTATGTATTGGGATAATAATAGTATTTTTCCTAATTGCTGATATGGTAGAGTTCCAGTTTCTGTTGATCAGCATTAAAAGTACTGACCAACCATTAGGTAACTTCTTAAGAAATTTTGTGTGTGGAGATAGTCTGGGCCTGGGCTCTTTCTATTTTTAAGATACTTAAAAGAGTCTTTGAGTTCAAATTTGATAAAGTTGGCACTAAACACCAACTGATGCAGGCCAAGATCAATTACTGCTTTGTGAAAATTACTTTTCAACATTTTTTGAATTCTCCTGGAATCCTGACTCAGTCTTTGTGATTTAGAATAAAACTAGATAAAACCATTTGCAGTATCTCTGTCACTGGTTAAAATTCCATGAAGATCCTTGAAGATGGCCCTAGTAACTCGGGCCAGCACTTATGTTGTTAACAAACTTAAAAACCTTCTTAGAATCAGATTTATAATTCCTCGTGCTGATAAAAAAATTAAAACTCTTCCACTTTGCCTCATACATTTCCTTTGAAAGGAAATTTATTATTTGTACTTCCTTGGCCCTCTTTGACTACTGAGCAGAAATACAAGCCTTGTTACACTGGTCTTTCAGAGCCTAGAGATGTGGACACCAGAATGGTTCGTAATTGCAAGGTTTTCCTCCAGGAATCCACTTTTTAGCAACTTCGTTGATTGTCTCGCAGAACCTCTTAAACGAAGCATCAATGCTCCCAATATGGAATACAATATCATCTTCAAAACCCTGTTCTAGATCTGCAGTAAATGCATTCCAGTTGGCTTTTTTAAAGTTCCATCTGCATTGTGGTCTACTATATTTTCCTTGACTGTTGTAATGATCATTTTGTATCCAGAGCCGGGGGTCATAAATTACATTTTTTACAGCGTTAGGTGCTAGATCATTCGAAACTATAGTTAGGTTAGAGTTTGTGGATGTGCCATTGTAATGCTGGTAGGTGGGAACATTGGATGGGTGGCATAGAAGATTTAAGGAGGTTGAGTTCAGTAGATCTTCTATCACTCTACCTTGCACTATTGTAGTCAGCATAGTTCCATCTAGTGCTATGAGCATTGAAATCACACATTAACACTGATTTTTCTGGAGAAAGAGAGAGTGTCAAAATTTAATTTTGTGCTATCAGGTGGGCTGTAACTCATAAAAATTATAAAATGGACATCATTATTCCAAACTTCCGTGCACATCAGCTCAGTGCTGCTGATTAAGTCACTAATAATTGTGAAAGAAGAAGTGAGTGATTTCTTTAGTCGAACAAGGATATCAATTGCAACTTGTCTTGATTTAGGTAATATCTGTAAGGACAACCCAAGGAAATTGTGGAATTTTAAGGATTTGTAATATAATACAATACAAAACAAATTGTAAATTTTTACAGCACATAAAACATTTAATAAAAAAAAAAATATACGTGAAGTCTCTTGTTGGAACAACTTTACACTTTGTAGCGATTACGCTTTGAGTGAGAATCCCACCAGCAACTTAGCAAAAGTTCGAGCCAGTCATAAAAATATGATGCAAGTCTGCCAGATAAAATTCCCCAGAAACATATCTCCAATTCTGCATATATCTTTCATCAGATTGCTGATGAATGTACTCCAAAGTTCTCTATTCACAAGCCAACTCAACAAAACATTCGAGTCTGTCCTGGCAATTGCAAAGCTTGGCTTATAGATACTGCTGGTCTTCTACTAACTGAAGTTTCTAAAATTTCCAGTCCTGGAATTGTTCATTTCTGCACAGGCAATAAGTGAGACTTAGCCGAAACTAACTAAACTGATATACATAACATAAAATACATACACAACATACATACATAAATACGTACACAACATAAAAATTCAGAATAGACATAAGCATAATATGAGGCAATTATAAATGTATGCAAACTAGCTTTGTCATGTTCCTCTCATAATATTCTTTTTCATCATCAAAATCTCTTTCATCATGGCAAACATTCTGAAGATGTACTTTAGTTAACAATAATGTTGGAGGTGTGAAACCAATGGAATCATAAATGCTATTTATCACAGACAACAATATCTTCTTTGTTGTAAC